GAAATGACAAGAGCCAGGAATACAAAGATTAGGCTAAGAAGGTCTCGGGCAGCGATGACAGCCTGTTCATGTTATTTTGGACAAAACAATGCGCAATGCATTATTGTGCAGGACTGTAATGCACATAGCAATATGCATAGCAGTTTTAAGTGCTTAAGGGCCGTTAAGTTCCCTCATTACTGAGACAACTGTCAACCCAACTGAACAGGTAAACTCACACAAATTCAAGTCTGCAGAAATACAGTTGATTGCAGAGCTGCAGAGCAATGGCTATTGTCAAAGGCGTGCCGCACCAAGCTCCAAGCGGTCCTTTCAGAGTTTGAGTCAGGCTGCATTCATGGGGCAGAGTGCAAAGAGCGGGAAGTCCAGTCAGAGTCCAAGCAGTACGTTCATTGGCTTAAGGATGGGGAGAGATTCTTGGCGGATGCTCATTGGTCAAGAGGTAAGCGTCAGTCTCCCATAAATCACGCCATCGACGAACCTCAGTCTCGCGTGGTCTTAGCCGCCTCCTGAGGGCTCATGCTTGAGATTTCGTGTTTTTCTATTCTTCGGTTCAATTTGACTTGGAAGTCCTCTCGGGCTGAAATCCTTTGAGGCAGCCGGATGTGTCCCACATACATTTCCAAACTTGCCACTGAGGGTGGCTCTTTCATCCCTCCGTGTTGAAAGCCCCCAGGCAGGCGCCGACCTCCAAGCAGGAGCAAGTTTGGCGTGTAGCACAGAAGGAGCGATGGCCTGTGAGGCAGAGCGTGGCAGGGGAGCTGCTGGAGATGTAGACTGAGCCCGAATCAGGTAGGGCTCTCTGAACTGGGCTGGGGGCTGTGGAGTTTCTGGTCAGTACTATGGGAAGCCACTGAAAAGCATCATACAGGGGAATTGGAGGGAAGTGGAAACATTTGATCTACACGTTGGTAGTAAGAATTTTCAGGCCTGTTGATTGGGTGTTGGGTGCATGGAAAAGAGATGAATCAAGGATTACACCCACTATTTTCTACTGTTTCCTTTACAGCATCTATTGTAATTATTTCCTAGTCTTTTTTTTCTTCCTTTGTGTATTTTTCCAGTTAGATCCATGTCTACTTTTCTTCTGGTGCTTAATAAATATGTGTTGAGTAAATGATTGAAAAGAGCGCAATGAACACTCTCTTCACCCCGTAACACAGACCTACCTCTTGCTCTCTAGTGGCTGTGTACAGAGACCCATCACCACATTGCTGAAGTCATTTTTCTACTAAGGGACATGTAGTTCCTTCCCAGAGTTTTGCTATTTCAAAAAAATGCTGGAAGGTCATGTTTATGTATGTGTCTGTGCATTCCTGCTAGTATTTTTCTCCAGGATCGAAAAGTAGAATTGGAAGGGCTCGTCTTAAGCTATATGTTATTATAAATTTAAATGGGTATTGTCAGTTTGAGTTCTAAAAAGGTGTACAACTTACATTGCCACCAACACCATGTGAGTGCCTTTTCTCTGTACCGTTTTTTGTTTGTTTTTTTTTTTTTAATGTTGATTTATTTTTGAGAGAAAGCATGAGCCGGGGAGGGGCAGAGAAAGAGGGGGACAGAAGATCCCAAGCAGGCTCCATGCTGACATTAGAGAGCTCAATGTGGGGCTGAAACTCAGGACCCCTGGGAGATCATGACCTGAGCTGAAGTTGGGGGCTTAACCGACTGAGCCACCCAGGTGCCCCTCTCTGTACTGTTTGTATTAGCATTTGTGAAAATTTTGCAACTAGCAGGCAAAAGATTGTCATTATAATGTACGTTTCAAAAATATTTTTAAAGGTGAAACTCTTTCATTTTTAGTTTTATTTATTGCCATTTATATTTCTCCAGTGAATTACCTAAAACAATTTATTCTTTAAAAAAATTAAGCTGTTGTCTTTTTATTACTGGTTTATAGCAACTCTTTTTTGGTATGAATGTAAATCTTTGTATGTTACATGTAATATACATATTTCTTCCCCTGTCTGTTATCATCATTCATTTAGAAATGTTTGATTTAAAAAATGTTTTTAAATGTTTATTTATTTTTGAGAGTGAGATAGACAGAGTGTGAGTGGGGGAGCGTCAGAGAGAGAGGGAGACACAAATCTAAAGCAGGCTCCAGGCTCTGAGCTTTCAGCACAGAGCCTGATGTGGGGCTCGAACTCATGGACCATGAGATATTTGATTTTTTTTTTAAAGCAAATCTGTTGTTTTCGTCTTGTCACACATAGATTTCTCTCACCCTCTAAGTGTATATTTCTCTATTTTTTTCTAATATAAAATTTTCATTGTGCTTTAGCTCCATAATGTATTTAAAAACCCACTTTTAGGGGCGCCTGGGTGGCGCAGTCGGTTGAGCGTCTGACTTCAGCCAGGTCACCATCTCGCGGTCCGGGAGTTCGAGCCCCGCATCGGGCTCTGGGCTGATGGCTCAGAGCCTGGAGCCTGTTTCCGATTCTGTGTCTCCCTCTCTCTCTGCCCCTCCCCCGTTCATGCTCTGTCTCTCTCTGTCCCAAAAATAAATAAACGTTGAAAAAAAATAAAAATAAAAAAATAAAAACCCACTTTTATATACTGGTAGGTAGGTAGTAAGCTTAACTTTTTCAAAATAGATAACTGATAACATTAACAGCACCATCTTTTAATTTACCACTCTGTCAAAGTGACAGTGCTAGTAAAGTTAACTTTTTCAAAAAAGATAACTGATAACATTAACAGCACCTCCTTTTAATTACCACTCTGTCAAAGTGACAGTGCTGTTTTAGCCTAAGCCTTCTCTTATGCTTGGGTTTCATCCTAAACTCCCTCTTCTGTTCTCTAGATCTCTTTGTATTGGAGTCATGACTATTTTAATAACTGTCTTCATGACCATTTTTCTTCAAAATGTTGTTGGCAATTTTTGTATGTTGACTCTATACATAGACATAACCAATTCATCCATTGTTCCCTCCACCAACTTCTGTGCCATATAGTATTGGACTTTTGATTGGAATTGATTGAAATTACATACAATTTATTATAGTTTAATTGGGGGGAAATTTGACCACTTTACACTACGTAGTCTACCCTTATAAGAAAATATGGTATGGCTCAGCACTTACTGATTATTTTATATTCCTTCAGGAAAGTTACAGTTTTCTTTTTTTTTTCCCACGTATTTGACATGTAATATTGTGTAAATTTCAGGTGTAGAACAGGTTAATTTGAGATATTTACTTATTTTATTGAAGTGTAGCTGACATACAGTATTATATTATTTTAATGTGTACAATGTAGTGATTCAGTGTTTAGTATATACATTATGAAGTGATCACCACTACCATGTTACTATATAAAGTTGTTACAATATCATAAACTATATTCCTTATGCTGTACATTGCATCCGTATGTCTTATTTATTTTATAATTGGAAGTTTGTACCTTTAAATCCCCTTCCCACATTTTGCCCATCTCCCCACCCACCTCTGGCAACACCAGATTCTCTCTATGAGTCTGTTTCTGTTTTGTTTGGTTTTTTATATTCCATATATAAGTGAAATCATGCAGTATTTGTCTTTCTTTGACTTATGTCCCTTAGCATAATAACCTCTAGGTCCATCCTTGTTGCCACAAATGGCAAGATTTCATTCTTTTTTATAGCTGAATTATATTCCATTGTATATTGGAATTGTACGTGTATATGTATACCACACATGTATACCACATATGTATATGTATATCACAACTTCTTTATGCATTACTCTAACAGTGGACACTTCGGTTGCTTCCATATCTTAGTTGTTGTAAATAATGGTGCAGTGAATATATGGGTGCATATATCTTTCGAGTTGGTGTTTTTGTTTTGTTTGGGTAATTACCCAGTCATGGAATTACTGGATTGGTTGGTAGTTCTATTCTTAATTTTTTTGAGGAAGCTCCATACTGTTTTCCATAGTGGTTGCATTGTTGTGCTTTCTTTCCTACCAGCAGGGCACGAGGGTTCCCTTTTCTCTTCATCCTCACCAACACTTGTTATTTCTTGTCTTTTTAATAAGAACCATTATGACAGGTGTGAGGTGATATCTCATTGTGGTTTTGATTTGCATTTCCCTGATGATGAGTGATGTTGAGTGCCTCTTCATGTGTCTGTTGTCTATCTGTGTGTCTTTGGAGAAATGTCTGTTGAGGTCCTCTGTCCGTTTTTTAATTGGATTGTTTGTTATTGTTTTTATATTGAGTTGTATACAGATATGTTTATGTCTTATAATTACTGCAGGTTTTTTATAAAGGCTTGTGCATTTCTCAACTTTTTTCTATATGTTTTATAGTTTTATATCCAGCTACGTTATTGAAACCTTAGTTCCCAATGGGCTAGACTTAAAACAATTAGTTTTTTTTTCTCTTACTCTTTGATGCTTTTATCTCCTTTAGCCGCAACCATCCAATACTGCTTTGTCAAAGCTACAACCATCCAATACTGCTTTCTCAAAGGGTTCTGCTCTCAGGCTGTTATCCAGAAACACATAATAAAATATTAGCCGTTAACTAAGGTGTTGGCTGATAATTGGGAAGTTAGATAATGGCATTCATTTCTTACCCTATTTGCCCTCGTGCTGAGTGCTCATTTCCTCTGCTTTGCCTTGACCCTTTCAGGCTGCATTGCCCAGGCTTCTGGGGCACTGGTGAGAGACTGGAGAGAGGGCTGAGGAAGGAAGAAGTCATTATAGGTTACTTGTTTTTACCTGTGATGCTACTGCAGTCCTCGTGAAGGAGTCCATCTCCCGATTTTGTCATAGTTTTGCTTTAACAGACACCTTCCCTTTCCTATCTCTATTTGTCCATTTCCTAAACCATTGCAATGGTTTTCTTTTTAATTTCAACCTACATCAAATTTTTATGTGGAAAATATGTTAATTTTATTTTATTTATTTTTTTTTTAATTTTTTTTTCAACGTTTATTTATTTTTGGGACAGAGAGAGACAGAGCATGAACGGGGGAGGGGCAGAGAGAGAGGGAGACACAGAATCGGAAACAGGCTCCAGGCTCTGAGCCATCAGCCCAGAGCCCGACGCGGGGCTCGAACCCACGGACTGTGAGATCGTGACCTGGCTGAAGTCGGACGCTTAACCGACTGCGCCACCCAGGCGCCCCAATTTTAAAAGCTACATATCATTCAACAGATCTGCTTTGAGCATCTACAGTGTGTTAGGCATGAAGATACAGAAATAAAAGAAACTGCCCTTGTTCTCAAGGGGTTCACAGGTTAATGATGAGGTGCTAAAATCCAGCACCTAGCTAATTCCTTGGGACAAATGCTGGGAAAGGAGTAAACGCAAATACTGTAGCAGCACCAGTAAAGGGCCCC